GTTATTGTTTGGGTGCTTATTTGTAATGTCATGTAGCTCGCCTTCCTCCTCTCGCCATCCTTTCAGTGAATCGAAGTTCTTTTTCCCTCTTTTTGGAGTGTTCATAGGGTATTTAAATGTATATTGCTACCTAGTCTTTGTTTTCAAACAATGTATTAATGTGTTGATTTTTTCCCATTTGCAGGGGTGTCCTATATTTCACTCACCATGCCTATTTCAAGAAACACTGAGGTTCTTCATCTGATTTAATGTTACTCTTAGTGCTTAAAAAGTATTTGGGTTTGGGAATTTGTGGTTAAATGAGCTCTTATCCGCAGCCTGGGGATCTTACCGAGCAGCAGCAGCCAGTTTTTAATTTTTCCAGTGCTCTTCCTTTTAAGAAGAGAAGATTTCCTGTAATCCGGCCGCCATCTCCTCCTCCGGAAGAAACTATTTCGAGCCCCATAAAAAATGCATCGAAGAACGAGCAAGAGTCTAAGATTTCTGAGAATAATGAATTAAAGAGCCAGCAAGAATTGAAAATTCAAGATGGAGAAAACCCATCTTCGATTGATGCAAGAAATGCATCTTCTCCTGGGAATGCTGACATGAACAAGGCCTCTGTATCAGCAGTTGAAAAAGACGTGAGCACTAGTAATACCGATTTGGGAACACCTAATACGGAAAATGTTCAATCCAAGTTGCAAGACGAGAAGCCCACTGTTAATTTAAAATCTGTTGCTGATTTGGGGAATAGTAAATTTGATATATTATCTAATGAAAATTCTCCAGAATTCGATGTTCCGAAAAGCTGTGCGCGTTCTCAAATTGAAGGCACCTGTGGAGTCGAATCCTCAATGGGCCCGATGAGTGTTGAACTGTCGTTAGGAGGGAAAGAACTTGCTGTTCCTTTTACGGAACATGAAAAAGATGAAGATATCTGCAATAAACCCGACAAATCTGATCCTTCTTTGTTGAGTATGGCCTTGAGCGACAAAGAACTTGCTCGACTTGAAAAAATTGATTCTACTCTAAACGAGGTGGCCAGTCAAGCCATCACCAATCGGTCAAACTGGGATTTGAACACAACCATGGATGTTTGGGAAGGTTCCTTGGGTACTAATGCATTAACAGACACGCCGGCTGGCATCTTTGGATCTCGAAAGAATGATGACATCCAAGATGAGAAATTCTCACTGATTACGGCTGGAAAAATTGACTTTAGTTTGGATAAAGGAAAAAAAATTCTGGATGTTAGTGGATCCAATACTGATGATTCCCTTGGTCTTAGACTTGCCACGCCACATATGGAGCCAGATGTTAGAAAAGAGCATTTTTCATTATCAGATAGCTCGTTTGCCACCAGTTCTACTAGTTGTTTAGGTTTGCAATCGGTACAAACATCGGCCTCGCCCGTGAAATCAGAACCTGTTGATGAGAATACCAAACGTGACTGTAACATGGGTAATGGTAGCAATAGCAATGTGGTGGGGTTATTGAAGTTGAGTTCCGTGAAAACAGAACTTGTCGATAATCACAGAGTGGAAACTGTACTGCAACAATCTGTTAGCCCGGAAAAATTAATTTATTCTGGCGAGTCAGTGAAATCTGAAGCTATTCATCAGCATAATCAGACAGCGTGCAAATCTGATGATATAGGGAATTTGAGTGCTGTAGATCATGAGGATACTTTTGAATTAGATGATGATGAAAAGTTAAACGGCCCAGCTGAAACAACTGAAGTTGGTGTCTTGATTGATAAAGGAGAAAACAAACGCAGAAAGGAGGATGAGGAGTACGAGGATGGTGAGGTTCGAGAGCCAATTCAATGCCCAGGTGCAGAAAAACCAGTTGGGGTTGAAAAGGAAATGGAGAATTCTGAGTATTTCATGCATGCTTCTCGAAATTCGCAGCCTACGGGTGATCAAGACATCATCAGCCCATCCAAGTTTAACCCACCTAAAGATTCTGCAAAGAAAATTCTCGAGGAAACTCGTAACGACTTGAATGGTGATAGCCTTAGTCCCTACGGTGAAATTAACTGTTTGCAGAAAGCTTCGGAAGAAGTGTTGGAAGGTGGGGTTGATGAGAAGAGAGCCATCAGTGTAAATCCTGACGAGCTGCTTCAAAATTGTCCTGCAAAAGAAATTTCGGTCTACAAACTAGCTGATGTTGACTGTGGGGTAAGTATTGAGCTTGAAGACGCAGATAACAATAATTCAACCTTGTCTAAATCTGAAACATCTTTGGACGGCCATGACTGTGTCAAAGATTCCAGCAATTTAGGCAACAAGAGCCGAATTATTAATTTATCTCGTGCTTCAGCTGTGACAAGTCCTTCCAAAACAGAATCCGTTACAAAAACGTTACTAACAACACAGAGTGGAAAAGAAAGGTACTCTGGTTTTGATGGACAGGCACAACAATGGGGAAATAATAGGTGATACATATGTTGTCTATTTCTGTTGCTTTGTGCTCTCGGTTCCAAAAAAATGTCCTTATATATAAGTATATATATATATATATATTTTTTTTTTTTCCTCGTATTGTCTTTTACAGGGAGGAATTCTACACCGCCAGCCGTACAAACAGATTCGTAAACGATCGAGCGCACGATCAGGATCGGCCACACAGGAATCTACGATCGAGTTTCTCGAACAGAAGGAGAATATCCGGCCGCTTTGACTCACGGGTTGACTGGGACTCGTCTGATCATGACTTCGCATCCGAGATCCTTTACAGCCCGTCTGATTACCGGCCCACCAGGCGCCAGCTCACCTCTGATCTCGACACTGAATGCAATGGCTACGAAATCCAACAAGATGGGCCTTCTGACAGACGGAAATCCAAGAAGGATGAATTCCCTTCACTTCGCCGTGACAGAGAGAACCACCAAATCTTCTCCCTATTTCGAAATTCGAGCCCGAATCGACAACGAGACAAATTCATGCGGCATTTATCAGACGAAATTATCAATAATCCTTCTTCATACAATAATCCGCAAGCAATTTACGATGAGCTCGATGATGGGCAGCAGCAGCAGCAGCAGCTTGTACGGGGCAACAGAAATTTCTCCAACATGCAGAGAAGAAAGGGGTATTCTCGGAACAACCGCTCGAAATCTCCTGCTCGGGACACTCCGGGTTTTTACAGAAGTGGGAGGATGAGGTCTCCTGACCGAACGCGTTTTCGTGATGAGATGGTTCCTAGGAGGCGTGGGTCCCCCTCATACGGACCCAGACATCATCCTAGTAACGATCTTAGGAGAGGCTCGCCTGAACGGGACTTCTCGAGAAGCGGCCGTAGAAGAAATGAAGGGTTCGATAATTCTAGGGAGATGATGGGGGACTGTGACGAGTACATGAACGGGCCCGGTAATAGTAAGTTCAACGAGAGGCGAGGGCCCGTTCGTTCGTTTCGGCCCGGTTTTAACGGCGACAGTGAGAATTTGAATTTCCGGTTTAATCTGGACGAGGGTCATAGGCCTTACAGATTCTGTTCGGATTCAGATGGTGAGTTTGGAGAGAGGGGAAATGGTCGAATGAGAGAGAGGGAGTTTGACAGGCGCGTGAAGCAGCACCATAATCAGTCTTTGGGTGTGTCGAGGAGGATTAGAAATGTGGAGGATCATGAGGATGGGAATTACAGGACGGTCGAGCGGGCCTGGCATGATAATGATGGGTTTTCTGATGGGAGAGAGAAAAGAAGGAGATTTTGAGGTTCCAAAGGATTGTCACTTGTCAGTATCTCCATGCGTCAAAACTTGAGCAAAAATGAAGTTTGTTTTAGCAGAACACTATCCATGTGTGTAGTGTGTGTTAAAGATAAAGCCATATGAAGAATTTGGTTCAGTCATCCCGAGAAGCTCATGAGTCGTGAACATTCGAAAAAACGGGTTATTTCTCAATCGTCTGTCTTGTTTTTCTTTTGTTGTTGTCATAAAACCTTATCAACAGTGTGTATGAGGAGGCTAGTGGAACTTGGAAGTTGTGTTTCCATGTTGTCTTGTATATACTCGGTTCATAGGACCTCCAATAATTAGGATGCATAAAGTGGCTGGGATGAACTTTTCTCTGCAAGATATTCCAAGAAACGGCACATTCTGTCGAATGAATTTAGCGTATCGACTAGAAAGAATGCTTTGGGCTAGTTGCCTGTACTTTTTTAACCGGCGAATGTAGAAGATGATGGTTATGAATGTTATTTGGCTATTTTGTTTCGTACTCGATTTTGTTCGCTCAGGTGCAGCAAACATGGGGCGAACGTCTAGTGCAGCAAACATGAGGTAAAACTTCTAGGCGAACACGTCTACTCAGCAAACATGAGGTAAAACTTCTAGGCGAACACGTCTACTCGTAAAAAATGCGATTTTTGCGCTGTTTTTGGTCCGAGTGTTCTGTGGAGACTCAGTTTTGTGGCATTATGAAATGAGCGTTTTTTCTTGACAAGATTATGAAAGTGAACATGGGGGGAGTATACTACATTTTGCCACAAATGAATTGAGGGGCATATCTGGAAATCTTGTCATCAAATTGGAAAAAACTGAAATTCTGAAATTATCAGTTCAAAACTCGAAAGATTAATAATATTAGACCTGTTATGGTGATGACTTATATGAGTAGGAACATTATACTCTTATAACAGGTGATGGCATAAACTTTTATATGTTAGTAATTGATGCCACATACAAAACTTTACTGATGTGGTTCATCTCTTTTTCAGGTTTTTTATTTTGAATTTTAAATTGGTAAATTTAGTTTTCATGCCCCGACCAAATTTATAGTTAACATGTAATTCGGGACCGGGATGATCAAATTCCTATTTTAAGACCTTGATAACTTTATAATGTTCAAATGGATTTTGACCATATCAACGTTTCGATAAACTATTACATGCTATCTCAAGAAAAAAAGGGAAAATAGTAGAGTGTGATAGAATATAATATAAAAATAAAAGTTGATGTGATAGAGAAAATAATAAAACAATAAATAATTGGTAGTAAAAAATATGTGAGTGAGTGAATAGTGATTTTTGTTGCAAATTTTATATTAATGATTAGTTTTTCTTACTTAAATATGTTAATCAAATCCATAAGAAAATGTAGAAATAAATGAATTCACTTTTTTTTTTAAAAAAAATTATTTAATCACAGGTCTAATAAAAAACATTATCAAGCAAAACAATCTTGAAAAAAAATACTTAAATCCAATCCACTCCAATTCTAAACATGTAAAAATCCTAAAAAATTACTATAACTATAAAAAACCTACATACACTTTCCCGTGAGCATATTTTATGAAATTGGATTTCTTACTCTAGAAGTTATCCTCAACAGCACCACATTTGCTCAAGAATAATTCTATTTTAGAGCATCTCCAATGTGGACATTATAAAAATTCATCCATATCATCAACTTTTGAAAGTGTGTTACAAATTTATTCTCCAATGCATCTAGTCATGAACTCCTTCATGATGAGGTGGATAGCATTTAATGTTAACAATATTGAACACACTTTCTAATATCTAACACCATGTTAAACATGATGACTAATCAATTCACTTCATATTTGATTTAATTTTTTATTATTCTTGTATTAATGATTATTTTAATTGGTCCACCTATACAAATAACTTCTTATGAAATTGATGCATTGGAGATACTAGTTTGATTCAAATTTCTACTCTTTTAACATTATTCCTACGTGAATTAACATTAAAATCATTGATTGACATGTGTTAAAAATTATTGTCTTTCAAAGCTATAACATTGGAGATGCTCTTATAGTGAGAAACTCGATTGTGAAACGAAAATCAAGTAATCCACTGTACTTACTTTTTCCAACCACAATTTCAATCATTGCTTTTTCACCTCACATGCCGCGGACCCGTGGTTATGATATGATTGCAGTACACTGTAAAACATAGATTTTTGAATAAATGGGTGTGAAAAATATAGAATATCTTGTTAATTACGTACTATTTTCACTTTCTTTTACCCCTTTGCTTGCATACGTTTGCAATACATACAACATTAAAACAAACGACCCAACCTCAGAATTCCCTTATTTCTAGCTAATTATTTGCTCTTTTTCATTTTCCCTTTTGTCTTCCTTTTCACGATCCAATCCACAACTTTCTTCATCTCCATCATTGATTTTTATTACGATGAATTCATCTCGTTAATTCAATCCCTTTCTTTTCCTCTTTCCCAATTTATGACAATGATGATCCATTTTATTACAGAGATCGTTCCTGCACAAATGCAAATGCAATAGAGCTACAGAGAGAAAATAAAATAAAAATAAAAATGGGAAGCTACAATTATTACAAGATGTTCGGTTGTTTCAACCGGAAGTTCAAGATCAGCGAGTCGGAGCCGCCGCCGGACGTGCGGGAGGCGTTCTGGCGGTATGCGGAGGGTTCCGATCACATGACGGCCTATCAGCTCCACCGGTTCATGGTGGACCACCAGCATGACGTGGCGTGCACCACCAGCCAAGTGGATGCCGTGATGCAGGCGGTTTTCAGCCACCGTCACCACTCGGACTCGAGGCGCCACCACCACCACTTCACGCTCGAGGACTTCTTCTATTACCTCTTTCAGGACGACCTCAATGGCCCCGTTTGTCCCACGGTCCGTGTCCACGTCACCTTTTTAGCCCCATTTTGTCCCTTTTTAGCCCCAACGGCCCCGTTTGTCCCACCACCACCAGATGTGGGGGCACGTAGTAGGAATTAATTTATCCCCATTTTTTTGCCCTACAATCATGGTCAGATTGCGACGTTGTTTTGGGGGATTTAGTTCATTAGTTTCATGATTTGGAGGGTCGGCTTGTCACAGTTTAGCCGTGCGGACCCAAATTCCGATTCCAATTTTATGACTATATTACGCCTTT